TCACTATAATGATGCATTATAGAGAAACTTACTGACTCTATTTTCTTTATAGTGGTGGAAGACAAATTTGACGCCCTAGCTTTTGCATTTGACTGGATAAAGGCTTATTTTAATGAGGCTGCCTTTGTCAATGTTGATGTCATGTACCTCAGCAAGTGTTGTGACAACTGACGCTTAGTGAAATTAGCCTTTATACAGTTGAGTTAATGCATCCCCTACAGAGAACACACTTCTGCACATTTTAATGCACTATTACAGTGTATTTGCTGAATTTATTGTATTAGAAAAAAATATGCAATGAGGCCTGTGCAAATTTTTATGGCACATTTTATTTTTATGTTTTATGTTTAAAAAAGAAGTTCTACACTAAAATCTTTTAATTTTTTAAGTTTGTTGCCTGTAGAGGATGTGTTAACATATTTTCATTCAGAAAATCAACAAAACATTATTTTGCTGTTATTTGACCAAAGGTGTTCAAAGCTTTGCATAAGACTGTCAAACCTTGTTTATCTAGGTTAGGCTTACATAGGTGTCGTGTAGCCCTATGAACGCTGCCTTTCAGGAAAATGTGCCTTGTGGGATGGTTTCAGATTCAACCTAGGAGTCACCCTGATTCTCTCTCCAAATTCCCTCACACAAGAACCATTTCACGCTTTCATTTCAGTCTTTGGCAGCAAGCGCTGGATTTCTCCAAGGCTGAATGAGTGTGCAGGATATAAGCAGTTAATGGCATTGCAGAGCAGTAGCTCTCACAGGAGTGTGGCCTTTCTGTGCTCCTTAAGCCACGAGTCTGTGAGGGATTTGATAGGTGTAGGTTTCAGCTGTCAGGTTTCTTTTGTTAGCTGGTTTCTGATAAAGTGGCCTCCCCCGCGGATGTTCTCAGTGCATTAGCCAGTTAGTTCTCAGGAAAGGGCAGTTTGCCAGCTGACTCGGGTGGTTGGCTTGTGGAAAATACCTCTTAAAATGTTAGATAACTTGCGTGTTCTCCATAGTCTCAGTGGAGAAGAGCTTGTGGAGGTATCATATCTCAAAAGGAAAAAAAAAAAACAGGAACAAGAAAAAACTTCAACAAGAAACAACTCTACAGAGAACATAACTCTGCACAGTTTAATCCACAGTTTATTTGCTAAATTTAACAAATTGGTGGGAAAAAAATAAAACATAGAATGTGGCCTGTTTTATTTTTTATATGTTACAGTAAATGAATAGAAGCAAATAAATAGAAATTGTTAACTAAAATTTGCAGAAAAAAATCCAGAAACTCCAGAATGTGCAATTTAAAATCTGATATATATCCGATATGAGAATGAGTCCTTTCTCTGAACAGTCAGATCAAAATTTTATGCGACTTTCACGTCAACCCAATTCACTATTTGTCATGTTTCCGCACTGACAGGAATTCAGTTTAACACGCAAATGGGCACTAACCTAACTATCAGAATTATCAGAGTAATCATTTTTACTGTTGACTTTTACCAGTTTATATATATTTATAATTTAGCGACTGTATTGTAACTTAGCGACTGTGTTCAAACTTAAAAACTGTCTTATAATTTAGCAACTGTGTTCTAACTTGATGACTATGGTAAATTTTAGCATCTGTGTTCTGACCTACTGTCTGTGTTCTGACCTACTGTCTGTGTTCTGACCTACTGTCTGTGCCCTAACTTAGCAGCTTTGTTATAATTTAGCGACTGTGTTCTAACTTAGCGACTGTGTTCCAACATAGCAGCTGTGTTCTAACATAGTGACTGTGTTCCAACATAGCAGCTATGGTCTAACTTAGAGGGCTGTGTATTTTGAAGGGTGTGTTACAACATCATGTTTTGGGTTCCATATATTTTTATTCATATTATTAAATAATAAAAAATGAAATAAAGAAAGTAATGCATTTTTAAGTGGTTTTCATTTTTTAACCAGATTCACAAGTATCCCATGAACACATACATATGGACCTCTGCTCTAGATGAATAATGAGTAGAATAAATACATTTTGCAAAACATAACCCCAACAAGAGTCTGTTTATCCTTCATCATGTAGCCTTGGAGCATTTTGAGTTTTGTAATGTCATTGCTCTGAGCAAATCACATGATCATGAGCTTCTCATCTACAATACAAGGCAGAATGCAGCTTTAGTCACAAGATAGAGTTTAGTTTTACTCCAGCACTGTGACTTTGTGCCTGCGCTCAAACCTTCACCACTTTCTAATCTGAAATATTTGGGTGGTGGCAGCTGTTCTTATTCTTTATTCTTTCTTTAAAGTTTCTGCCTCATACAGTCAGTGAGATAAAAACGGAGCTGTTTATTGTGGTTTGATGTGATATTGGTTCAAAAACGTATCAACTCTGATTTCTTTACAGTTGTGATGATAGGAACCGTGGGTCATAATGTCTACAACAGAAATAGTCTTTTTTTGTACTATATATATGTACTATACAATAAGATCGGTGAATCTACACTTCTGTGATTTGATATATAAAGTTGATAATGGTAAGACGGTGTTAAATACAAAAAAACAAGGGACTATTTTGCCTTGTGATGCCCTGCAGAATGTGCTGCCGTTGGAGCAAAACTGACTGTAACTCATTGTATACTTAAAGTTTGCTCACTGTCGTACCGATTGCACAGGCTGTGTAGTAATTAATAGAAGATTTTTACCCATGTATGCATGAACGTGAAAATGCTTTGTCCCTCTACTGTGGAACAGAACAGGTTTGTTTGACAGAGCTGTCTTTTTTTAACAGGCTGACGTACACAAGATCGTGAGAGGCACCTGCTGTCACACACGCTGTGCTGTTTACTTTCCCAGGTCCACGTAGGCCTCTTTCAAAACCATGAGGCTTCCATGTTTACCTGAGATAAAGCATCCTATTTCGATCACAATATAACTGCCCATGCTACCAGTTGCTATGTAGAGGGCCTCATAGAAGCTAGCCTGTTTATATAGGGTTGGTTGCAGAGGGTAAATTATGTGTATTGAAAAGTTAATTAAGTAAGGATATTGGTTCTTCTGTGCTGTCCACAGGAGACAGGAAGGCATTCTGATTTTTTTCCAGTCCTGTGACGTGTGTTCATTCTGAAAGATCTAAATTAATGTACATATTTAAAATAGAACTAATCAGTGTTGAGGCAGACGCGGCATTGCAATATGTAGGTTTTGCGATAAATATTGTGAAATTTTAAAAAACATAAATGAGTCAAAACTTGAGCCAATTACCACTCTAGCACTAAAAACGGTGTAAGAGAATTAAGACAGTAGTTAAATATTCTAGCTACACTGGAATTCCACCATTTTTTTTTTTTAATTTCTGCATGATTCAGGAGTCATTCAGAGGGTTCAATTGTAGAGAAACAAAGACTCAGATTTCTTCACAGTGGGACTGATAGGAACCAGAAGTTGCCCTGTCTACAGAGTGTGCAACATCAGAACTTGTTGATGATTAAGTGGAAATTCACACAAATTGTATGGTAATTTTATCATTATTTTAAGAGAAACTTAAAGAGAAACAGGCTCTTACATGCAGAACCAGGGGTCTCGATGCCTACAACACAAATATAGCCATTTTATTTACTATCCAAAACCAGCAGGGAACCTACACGTGTCTACTGTGATTTAATATGTAACATTAGAAGTGAAATAGTAGCAAATCCAAAAAATGTTTTCTTTGGGGAATATTTTGCCTCACAACACCCTGCATGTACCTCTCTGCTATGGATGTAACTTCAAAAAAACCTATTTGAGCAACGTATTCATAACCATTTCATGTAATAACTTCCTGTAAAGTAACATTTGACATTTGGTTCCTATCACCATTGTCGTGAACAATTCTGACTTAGTAAGTTTATCAAGGACGACACAGTTCACATCAGTGCACTCTGATTAACTGTTTATCTTAATGATTTAATTTCAGAACATTTTGAAACTTCTGTGGAATTGAAGGCTGTACAATATGGACAAAATACTGTATTGCAGTTATAATGCTACATATTGTGCAATATACCATCCAGTACAGTGAAAATGCTGCTAGTTTGCATTCCTTTCAAATGATCAGCACAACAGTTTGAGTAAAAAAGTAGAATCTTTGACACTTTAACATAAATTTTAGAATTTCTTAGTATTTAGTGCGTCCCGTTTAGAGTTTATGCAAAAGCCTTTGATAAGCACATCACATCCACTTGAGAGTCCTCTGAGCATTAACTTTAATAGAAAAAATAAGGCTAAAAATGTTTTTTGTACAAAGGCATTAAGTGTCATAAATTTGATTAAATTTGAATAGTGACTTAGAAAGTGCACAATGTTCAATGATTCTTCTTCATTTTGCTTTTCTTTTTATTTCCTGTTGTTTATTTCCAGGATAAAAAAATCAGATAATTTTAATGTGATTTGGTAAAATACTGTCCTGCATTATTTTTGACCAAAGTTATTTATGTGAATACCTTGATTCATCCAAAAACCCAAAAAACATCAGGACCTAATGACCAAGGAACAATATACTGCACAGCCCTAAATTAAATGGGTTCCACCACAAAATATAATTACGTGACTGAATCAGGTTTTGGCACAAAATCTATTCATTGAATAATGGCTCTTTTGCTTTTTTGCCTAATGAATAGCGATTTTTAAATGCAGTCTCTTTTATTGCCCCCCTTTTTTCAAGCCTAAAACTGCATCTCCCTATATTGGTGCCATGTCTATAATTCATAGCAGAATCTTTTAAAGGCAACCGTTCTTGGAGCTGCTGCTGCTGCAGAGCCCTCATAAGTAATGTGCTTTGATCCTGCTCTATGGGTGATACTGATATTAACACTAGGCTCATGTTTTCCTCTGGCTGGGGAGTGTTTTGAGGAGGGTGATTTAATTGTATTTGCTGTATATGGATGAAGCTGGGTCTGGAGAGCCAGAGGCTGTGTCAGGGCTTTGAGCTGCTGCCCTGTCAGAGAGAAGGAAAAACGGCTGCTCAATTAGCCTGATTGCCTTGTGCTGCTCTGCCTCCGCAGGTTCTGGGATTACTCCAGGAGTCCGATGCTGTTGGACACATTGGAGCACCACTCAGAGTTTGTATGTGGCCTGGATTTCAATCTGCATATCCCCAACCAGGTAAACTCACTGCTGCTGTACAGCACAAGTGCAGCCTTAGCAGTATGAACATTTCAGATATCAGTTTTAAGGGCCTAAAATAAGAACAAATATCATTTGATATGGACAAAAATGACTCCGGTAGTTTTAGTTAAGTAGTATTTGCTGACTGAATTCTCAGATATTACTGTTATTTTTCAATTGTTAAATATGTTAAGCTTAAATGAATAACAAAAAAAAAGGTAATAAAAATTATATATAAATACTGTGGTACAGTCGTTGGAGCTTCCTAGTATTCTGTTATTATTACTATTACTATTCACATAAACCTCTTTGTATTGTAGCATGCATTACCCTCATGAAAAAGGTTACGTTTGGATGCGTTCCATATGTTTTTATTATTTTAGCCATTGTTCAAAAAAGACAGTGTTTTGTGTTCAAGTTTACCTGTTCAGCCTTTATTGCTGTGAAAACGGTGTAACAATTGGTAACAATTACCAAATGTATGTTAGGAGTTTTGCCCAAGCCTTATTGATATAATGTGCTTTCCCAGGCGGGCAATTCAACCTCCGCCTACTTCATGGAGAGTGGTGCTGGTACCCACTACGCTAGCAATTGATTGGTGTAGCGTAGACAGGGGTTTGATTCCCCACCTAGGCAGGCACACCATGTTATACCAATAAGATATAAAAAAGACTGGCATTAAAGCCATTAGAATCCTCAGAAATAATCAGTTCTTCTTGTGTAAAGAAGCTCATAAATGTTGGTGTTTTGTGGCATGATTTTTGCTGACACCAACAAATCAATTAGCCCTTAATGTCAGCAGACTTTATCAGCCAAGATCAGCCAGCCAGGCTCAAAATTAAACTCAACTCAACAGTTACAGTCGTATGCAAAAGACACCCCCAGTCAAACAATATATTTTGTCAACACATGCTCTACATGAAACAAATTTAAATATAGCATTTTCTGCAAATGTTACTGCACATAATACTGAATAACATATAAAACATAGGAAAACATGTAATAGAAATGTGTTATAACATTTGCACAGGCCATATATTTACTTTGATAATCAACATATAATTTGACCAGGGGCACCCAAACTTTTGCATACACCTGAAATGAATAGGTTTGGTTGCTGCGTATGAGCAAGGACATCACTAAAATGAGCTGGATACCAGCCCTCCAGGGCCCAAATTGGACAGCCCTGGGTTATGTTAGTCAACATCTGTTGGTTGAATACATCCCTGTTTGTCTAATTTCAGCTCAGCAGTCCAGGCTTAAGTACAACCTTTATATACTTAGAGTTTTTTTTCATGGCCAAAGTCTGTTTTATTAGTGAAAGCAAACAGCAATTCATTTTGAGGCTTGTCTCACTGTTTCCATCACGCCATCTGAATCTCTCTACCAAGTAATAATGGGATCTAATCAGTGATTATACGAGTGACATTCTGATTGGTGTTCCTGGAAAAAGCTGGTCATACACACACACACACACACACAAACACACACATAGGTCTCATGATGTGTCTGGAGCAGGTTTGGCGGCAGGCAGAATTGCAGTGGCCAAAGCATAGCCAAGGGCACTCTGTAAAGGGAGCAGTGTGGAGGGTGTTGATGAAAGGTGGCTGCTGGCCTCTGGTGAAAAAGGCCCTGCCTCACTGACCTGGTTCTAGTGGGGTGAAAAAGCATATACTGCACCCTCACTTTTGAATTTTTTTTTTCACAATTTATACTGGTACACCCATATTGGTGTCACACCACAATAATGATTTTCAGGTTAAGCAGTGTTGATAGACTAATTAACCTAATTAACTATAACGTCAGAGTCCACCCTTCATTTACTTCCAGTCAAACAGCCATTAAGTATAAGCTACTCACTTTTAAGGAAATACTTCTGAGGAGATTAGATGTTAGATAATGCGCTTGCACAAGAAAGGAGAAAGTCGAAGGAAAATATATGAAAGAGCTGGAGTTTCCAAAACTGGAGTTCAAAAACTAATTAAAACATGCAGAAAAAAATAGGACTGCTGAACAATAGCAAAGGACCAGTAAACCACCAAAACTGTGACCATCAAATAAACAGTACTAAAAGCTTAAATCCTCTGTTGCATCACTCACTGCAGAGTTCCAGAGTCCCTCTTAAAACAACATCAGCACAAGAACTGTGCGTCAGAAGCTTCATGAAATGGGTTTCCGTGACTTAGAAGTTGCGCACAAGCCTAAGATCTTATGTGCAATGCCAAGAGCCGGCTGTAGAGGTGTTAAGAATGCCGCCACTGGACTTTGGAGCAGTGGTAACACGTTCTCTGGAGTGATGAATCATGCTTCACTGTCCAGCAATCTGATGGATAAATAGGTTTGCCAAGAAAGCACTACATACTGAAAAACATAGTGCTAACAGCAAAGTTTGGTGGAGGAGGGATAATGGTCAGGGGCTGTTTATAATGATTTGGACTCGCTATCAGTGAAGCATAATGTTAATGCTACAGCATACAAAGACATTTTAGACAGTTCTATGTTCCCAACTTTCTGGCAGCAGCTTGAGGAAGGCCCTTTCCTATTACAGCATGACTGTGCCACTGTGCACAAAGCAAGCTCATAAAGACATGTTTTGATGAGTTTGGTGTGGAGTAACTCCAGCGGCCTGCACAGAGCCCTCAACCCCACTGAACACCTTTGGGATGAATTGGAACATCAATTGCAAGCTAAGGCATCTCGTCCAACATCAGTGTCTGACCTCAAAAATGCTATTTTGACTGAATAGGCACAAATTTCCACATATACTCCAAATCTTGTGAAAAACCTTCCCAGAAGAGTGCAGGCTGTTATAGCCACAAAGGTGGGGAAACTCAATATTAATGCCCTTTGTTCTGGAAAGTCATATGATGTGCAAACCCAATTACAAAAAGGTTGGGACAATAGGTAAAGTGCAAATTGGTTGAGGCTACTTTGCCTAAAATGCATCAGCAAAAAATCCAATAATTTGATCATGTAAGAGATGGCAAAGATTTGTTTTACCATCTACAGTGCATAATATCACAGGATTTAGGGAATCCGGTGAAATGTCTGTGCATAAAAGACAAGGCAGAAAACCACAAATGAATGCCCATTACCTTTGACCCCGCAGACAGCACTGCATCAAGAACAAGCATGCATTGCCAACAAACACTGTCCGTTGGTGCATCCACAAATGCAAGTTAAGACTGTACTATACACAGTGGAAGTCATATGTCAACAGTGTCAGAAACACTGCCGACTTCTCTGGGCTTGAGCTCGTCTGAAATGGACTGACACACAGTGGAAAAGTATACTGTGCTCTGACAAGTCCAACTTCCAGGTTTTTTCTTTTGGACATTGTGTTCTCCAGACCAAAGAAGAAAAGCACCATCCAAATTGTTACTTGCATAAAGTTTGAAAGCCAGGGTCTGTCATGGTATAGGGGTGTATTAGTGGGTAACATCTGTGAAAGCACCATTAACTCTGAACACATTTTAGAGCAACATATGCTGCCTTCTAGACACTGTCTTTTCTAGGGACCCCCATGCTTATTTCAACATGACAACACTAAGCCACATTCTGCAAGTGTTGCAACAGCATGACTGTATAATCAGAGAGTGCTAGACTGGCCTTCCTGTAGTCCAGAACTTCTTATTTCTTATTACACTCAAAATGTGACACCAAAGGTTTTTGTGCCTTCACTCTCCAAATGAAAGTTAAATGCTATTAAAAACAAAGGTGATGAAATTTTGGTAAACATGCTTTATGAGTTCATACAGTCATAAGATAAAATATAAAATGTTGTTTTTGTACTGTTTTCCGTTTAATACAGGTCAAATAAAAATGGACTAATCACTGCTTTCTGTTTTTATCAGCATTTCACATACTGTCCTATCTTTGTAATTGGGTTTGTAGTACCATACCTAGTTTTTCCACTGTAGTGATTACATTTCAATTTAGTATGAATTCCTCTCCATACATTTGTGTCAGACGTTGCCTCAAATGTTTGTGTGATCACCAAAAACAGAATGAATTGTGCTATTACCAGTTACCAGTTAAAATACTAACTGGTAACTGGTCGGTAAAATGATAACAACTTAGCCTGCAGGTAGGCTTACCATCATGGGTACACAATGCGTAAATGGATGTGTGCACCCCCATTTATTTCTAATGCTTTCACCACCTCATGCTTATATTAATGACCAGAAAACCTGGAGTCAGAGCGTCAGTCAATGAGCCATCACCCAGCTGACAGGGGAAGACCAGAGCTCAGGCTCGTCAGCTCCCACTGGACAGAGGGAACACTCTGAGTGTGCACTTTGAACAGTCCTGCTTTGAAGCCATTTCAGCACATCAGTACACTCTAAATTACAGGCTCATTTAAACTGAAAGAACAGTTCTCTGTACAACTGGAACATGATAGAACTAAATTGAAAGATAGACCCTGTTGTAGTGTTGTTGGTTACCTCTTCAAAGACTTAACAAAAAAAGAGAGATTAGAGATACGGAGATGTACAGTATTAACCCTTAAACTCTGGGCTTGTCAGTCAGTTATTAACTCTTATTGGATTTGTAAAGAACATGAACTAACAAGACCAAAAATTAGTGTTTTTATTTCACAAACTACCTCTTTGAACAAGAAAACACTCATCACAAGTCAGCAATGTTTTATCATCACTCTGATTAAATAAAAGAATAGTAAGTGTTAATCAGTCTGAATTAAGCTCTGAACAAAGCAACAGTACAGTAATAAGATACACAAATTTTATTGTGTATCTTTTATACAGTGATAGAAAACACAGTAGCATATAGAAAGTACTGATTCTACACACTGATACTTTTTACTATGGCCAACATGGAAATGCACACACTCAGTTTAATAAGATTAAAGTCAATGTAAATCAGAAATCATAATACATTTTTCTTCCATAGTGTGACATATTTATGACTGAAAGATGGTATCAGGGAAGGTCTTTGATCTAGCTGAGTGTGTTCTCTCCATGATGGGAGAGGAAGGT